TGAAAGAAAATGCATGCATCTTAATTTTTTATAATCTTAAAGGGCATTTCTATGTCGTTTAATAGGAAGAAATCATTGTTTTAAGGGTTTGATTGAACGTAATAAAAGTATAAGGGTTTATTTGAATTCTTTTTGAATATTTTAAGAGCTTTTTTGTATATTATGCTTTCTTCTTTTGTTGTTGTTTTATTATTATTAATTATCATTTATCACATTTATTTTTGAAAGTAAAAATAAAATGCATGTTTAATAGGAAAATAAATAACCTTGTGAAATAGTTAAAATTAATTTTTTTTATTTTAGAGGATAAAACACATGATTTTACTTTCATTTGTAGAATAATTATATATTAAATTAATTGGTATTTCATCATAGTGAATTAATTGGTATTTCATCATTTTTAAAGTCAATTAATGATTTATATTACTTTTAATCATTTGCGCTTTGGCCAGATTCTTTTTTTCATCTTTCCTTCACCATTTCAAGTTTATTTGAAGCACTTGTTTGCATTTTATGTTCCATGTTGTGCCTTCCTTTTTCTTGTAGTGAGATTGTTTTATTGCTAATGGTTTAGTTAAAGTTAGACTTGGACAGGAAAGATATATTGTAGCTTAACTATGTCGATGTCGAGCTTTTATGACTTGTCCAAAAATACAAACACCCAATAATATAAAGTATAATATATAAAGAGAAAATTAATGACTAAAAAAACGAAAGGCATCCATGATATTGAAACTTTAACATTCATCATACTTACTACATAATAATTATATATTTATTCTTAATTAGGAAGATGACGTGAAGATTCTTAAAACTAAATAAGCTTGGGAAATTTCTTAAGATATGTAGAACAAAATTTTCTCTGCTTACTGCATTTATTGGTTTCTCTACAGCGAATTGTGCTGTAGCACTGATGTAGGTATGCACCCTTTCTTTACAACGTATGGGGTTCACAAGCAATATAGGAAGAAACTGAAAGACAAATAAAGAAGAAGACATACAATCTTATTTACACCCGCCTAGTGAATGACTTGGAAACTTAAAAAACAAAATGGGAACAAAGAGAGTCACAGACGGGCTCTGCGTGAAGTACATGCTGGTTGATTAACCGGAGCCATGTACCTCCAACCCCCACCCTCCTTGGAACAATTGATTTAGACCCTAGGAGGAGGAAGCAGCCATTTGGCACCGTCAATAAAGCCAAGAACCAGGAAAGGTTTGGCTTCCCCGTCCGTTAGCTGCTTGGCGTATTTCTCCCGCCCACTGAAACTTGCTCCTTTTCCCTTGCACTTGTATTCTCCGAAGAAAACAGTTCTGCAAAGCCAAAAAAACGATTGCCAACTTATCTTAGTGTACCAAATATGAGCTATCAGAATCAGATAATGATATCTAAAACCTCTGAAGTTTTATATTAGGTTATAGTAGTTGACAAAGTTTCGGATCGCCATGCCAAGCACTTGTTATTAAATGTCCCTTTATCAAGATTTAGGCGAGTTAATCCTAAATGGTAGGCTGCGTAGAATTACTCTTGGTCACCAAAAAAAGGAAGCGATAGGATGGATATAGCTTACCTGGCACGCTCCGGATGTAAATTATCAGACCATCCAAGAGGATGGACGACGCTGC